TGAGGGTAATCAGCTTAAATAGCCCACTCAGGCTGCAAGAGTATGACTTTACCTGTCTTAACATGAGACTCTGCCATGCTTTCCACACACAACTGATGTCTAAGGCCCTACAAGAATACCTCCATCACTCCTTTGATGTAGATTCTGTTCTTCTATTTCTCAACAGTCCTGGTGGGTGCACTAAGTGTTGAGTTCTCTTTATTGCCTAGGATCTGAACAAATTGACAAATAAGATAAAGGAATAGTGACAGAGGAAAAGTATTAACCTTATTATTCAGAAAAGATAGATTGGAAAATGTTTGGTAATAGAGTTAAATGTGATTGTTGACTCAATGCTGGATGGTCTGGAACATTGGGTCACTTGTATTAGAGTAATGGTGATTAGTGCAGGTAGCACTGATTCAATCTTTCCTGTTTGTCTAAAAGAGAACACCAGTTTCTGCAGTGAGAGTAAAGGCTGGGTCTAGACATCTGTGCTTCTGATCAGGTGGCCAGACCAGCAGAGGCCTGCCTCTGTCGAAGTGGAGGTTGCTTGCTTCCTGTGGGCAGTTCTTGCTTTATTCCTTTTAGAACATCTGTACTGATGTCTTGCTGTGAGAGTGGAGGGTTTAGCTCACTCATCCTTCCTTCTCATCTTCCCATTATAGTTTTGGTTAAATAAGTATTCACGGTGTACATTTTACAATTATGAAATGGACCTTTTTCTCTCTAGAATTTTGTTTTTATTGAAATTAACGAATGTCCCCTTCACTTTAGTTTTTTATAGTCTTAACTAGAGGTCTGGTGCACAAATTGGTGCAAAGGTGAGGTCTGGCCGGCTCACCCCCATCACTGCTGATTGGGCTGGGCCGGCCAGGGAGAGGGACTGCCAGAGGTTGGCCAGCTGGCCCCGCCCCTGATTGGGGTGGGAGGCCCAATCAGAGGTGGGGATGGTGGGGGAGGGGAGGGGACGGGAGAGGAACCACGGGCAGTTGGCCAACCCTGCCCCCATCTGGGTGGGGGGCTAATTGGAGGGAGGGGCCTGGAGGAGACCCACTGAGCTGGAGCTGAGCATGTCCCCAGGCTTTTCAGGGAGGACGGTCTCAGCAAGGAACCAGGAACCACCAGAAGGCTCTGCAAACAGGCCCTGAGCTCCCTTTGGCCAGGTGGAATCAGAGCTGGTGTCTCTGTGTGTACATTAGACACAGCCTGGCACTAGCCTTTGTCTGTTGCTCAAATTCACTGCATCAAAAAACTTGTTCCCCTTCTTCTCTTCGGGCCCTTACAACAAATGCAGGCCAATTGGAAGACGTGGGCCCCAGTGGCAGAGCCAGGCCCCACAATCACCGGGAATTTAGACCCAAGACAACCGGGTAACAATCTCTACGGAACAGAACACACTGTTTTAGAGTCTTAATTCTCCCCTAAAATGTGCCCAGCTGCTCCTCTTTAGCCAGGAAAGACTGAACTAAGGAACCAAAGACCGAGTTTCCTCTGAGGTGGGATCCACTGGGGGCCGGCTGGTGGCAAGTCCCCTCACAGGCAGCTGCCTTCTCCCCAAGCTCAGTGTGCTCTGAGCCGGTCCATTTGTGGTGGTGATGGGTCCTGGGCTGCTGGTCAGGCAGAGGTCCACAAGGTTTCTCTCCACCACCTTCCTGGCATCCCAAGCAGTACCCTCTTGCCCGGAGTGCTAGGCGGCTGTTGCTAGAGCTGGGACTTGGAGAGTGAAGGAGCTGGCCCACACCACAAGGGACTCACAGGTGGCCAGGCCGTGACTCTCACCCATTTCTCAGTCTCACGCATATGGATTGGGCTAAAGCCCACTGCCCGAGACTGCCACCATGTGGCACGTGAAGGGGGGGTGGTCACAGCAGGGAGAGGGGCCCCTTGACCTGCCAGCCTTGGTGATGTCATCTTGGTGCCCAGTTGATTGAATTTGTTCCACAGACCCTTCATCTCAAGCTGCATGCTCATGCTGGCCACCTTCACGTTCTTCTTTACCAGTGCCTTAGCAGTGGCCGTGCAACTGGCCCTGGACCTTTGGGCATGGCAGCTGCGCTGCTGGTGGTCCCTGTGGCCCATACATCATAGCAACTGGTCATTCTGCCGTGATGGTTTCTGGGCTTTTATCTATTTCCTAGAGGGCAGTTGCACAAAGAGATTCATGCAATAGGCCTTCCTTCCCTTGGCTTCCAGCACTGGTTTACCTCTGGCACCTGGAACCCAGGCCTTTGCTCTGGCCAGAGGCTACCACCTTTGCTGCAGACTCTGGTCAGAGTCTGCCTTCTTCATCTTCACTGCAGACTCCAGCTAGCATCTGCCATCTTTGTCTTTGCTGTGGCCAGAGAGTCACTCCTGTAGATTCCTTCGACCCCTGCTCTTCCTCTCATAGCAGGCATCCTGCCCTGCCTGGCCACTCCGTGCCTGGAGCAGTTGGGTGGCCACCATCTTAACATTTTGATATGCTTACTTTACTATATATCTATACAATTATCCATTTCTTTTTAGTTAATTTTTTAGTATCTTATCTAATAAAAATGTTATGCAAATTGACCATAACTATGCTACACCCACAAACCACACCCATCGGCTAATCAGAAGCAAGTATGCAAATTAAACCAACCAAGATGGCTGTGGCCACAGAGCGAGCAGAAGGCTTGGGTTTCCTTGGCAATGGAGGAAGCCAAGCTTCCCGCACACCCTGGCTGGCCTACTCCTCTACTCAAGGCTACAAAGTTTCAATTATAGAAGATAAATAAATCCAAACAAAAATGGCAGCAGCCATGTAGCTGGAGAGAGCAGGAGGCTTGGGTTTCCCCCACTGATGGAGTAAGCCAAGCTTCCTGGCCTGCCTTGGCCTCTGCTCAAGGCTACAAAGTTTCAATTATAAAAGATAAATAAATCCCAACAAAAATGGCAGCAGCCATGGAGCTGGAGAGAACAGGAGGCTTGGGTTTCCCCTGGCGATGGAGGAAGCCAAACTTTCTGCCTGCCCTGGCCTTTCCTGGCCTCCGATCAAGGCTACAAAGTTTCAATTCTAGAAGATAAATAAATCCCAGATACCAGGGTCTCCATTTGGGTCGCTGGGTGTGTGTGGCCAGCCTGCAAACCACCACAGGCCCCTCGCCCAGGCCACCCCCCACTCTGATCTGGGGCACCTTTCAGGGCAAACCAGCCAGCCCCCACCCATGCAGCTGCCCTCTATCCTATCTAATAAAAAGTAATATGCAAATTGGCCATCACTCCAGCACACAAGATGGCTGCCCCATGTGGACACAAGATGGCTTCCACAAGATGGCCAGCAGGGGAGGGCAGTTTGGAGGGACCAGGCCTGCAAGGGAAGGCAGTTGGGGGCAATCAAGCCTGCAGAAGAGGGCAGTTAGGGGTGACCAAGCTTCCATAGGAGGGAAGTTGGGGGCGACCGGCCTACAAGGAAGGGCAGTTGTGGGGGGGCCCAGACCTGCAGGGTAGAACAGTTGGGGGGGGACCAGGCCTTCAGGGGAAGGCTGTTAGGGGTGACCAGGCCTGCAGGAGAGGGCAATTAGGGGCAATCAGGCTGGCAGGGGAACAGTTAGGCATCAATCAGGCTGGCAGGCAGAAGTGGATAGGGGCAATCAGGAAGGCAGGCAGGCAAGCAGTTGGAAGCCAGTAGTCCTGGATTGTGAGTGGAATGTCTGACTGCCTGTTTAGGCCCGATCTTACCGGGATTGGGCCAACAGGTAGTTAAACATCTCTCGAGGGGTGCCAGATTAGAGAAGGTGCAGCTTGGGCTGAGGAACCCCTCTCCCCCTGCTCTATGCATGAATTTTGTGCACCGGGCCTTTAGTATATTTAGAAAGTCATGTGTTTTTAAGGCCCATTTTAGCATTTTTAAAATTTATGGTAAGTACTCCTCTAGGAAAATTTTTATTACTAATTTACACTCTTAACAGTGGTTATTAGTATACTTTGAATCCTTGCTACACTGGGTTTTATTGTTTTTACGTAACATTTTTGTTAATTTATGATATATAGCTTGTTATTAAAGTATGTTTCTGATTGTTTTGATGAAAATATCCACTGTAGATTTTGAAAATACATTTAATTTGTTCTTTGGTGATACTTAATGTTTTTAAAAGGGATCATTGTGCTTGTTCATTAATTATTTAAGGTACAGTTGGGATTTCATTCAGGAAATCACTAGTCCTAACTAGAGTATTAGTATAGCACATTCAGCCTTTTTTCTTTTTCATAGAGTAATTGAGCCGAAGGAGAGAAATAATTGTTTGAGGTAATCAAAAGTAGAACTAGAATCTCATGAATTACATTCTTGGACTCACTGGTACTTTGCTTGACTTACTGGAACTTTTAAAAAAAAATTTATTTTAAGCCGAAACCGGTTTGGCTCAGTGGATAGAGCGTCGGCCTGTGGACTGAAGGGTCCCCGGTTTGGTTCCGGTCAAGGGCATGTGCCTTGGTTGTGGGCGCGTCCCCAGTAGGGGGTGTGCAGGAGGCAGCTGATCGATGTTTCTCTCTCATCGATGTTTCTAACTCTCTATCCCTCTCTCTTCCTCTCTGTAAAAAAAATCAATAAAATATATTTAAAAAATTATTTTAAATTCTTTATTGTTTAAAGTATTACATATAGTATTACATATATGTCTCCTCCCCCTCCCCCAATTGACCACTCTCCGGCCACCCTCACCACCTACCAGATGCCCTCATCCCCCTAGCATCTGTGGACTGGACCTTTGTTTTATTCCTTTATCTGATGTCCCACTCCCTGTAACACTATAACTGATAGAAGACTCAAGAGAAATAAGGATTTGAATTTGAAGTGTTAAGCACTCTAGGCACTTAGGAGGGCATATAGTAGTTGAAGCAAGAAAGTAGATTAGAAGGTGGAAAGGCTGTTTTAAATTATAGGTTACTTGTTTTTTATTTTAAAAGTAGTTTATAAACAATTATTTAACTTTGGTATTTCTAGAAATATGTTACCTTTGTTATTTTCTAAGCATTTAGCCAACTCTTTTTGTTTACAGCTGGGCTCAAAATGCAGAGAACTCAAAGATATTCATTTCGGCCAGTGTTACAAGATCTCAGATGAAGGCATGATCGTCATAGCTAAGGGCTGTCTGAAATTGCAAAGAATATACATGCAGGAAAACAAATTAGTAAGTACTTATATAATTTTTGTATTTTTTATTTTGTTTCTTACCTTTGAATTCCTTAGAACTTAGCTTATAAATTTTCTTCTACTTGCTATTTTTTTGGTCGTTTAAGGCAAATATTACCTAAAAGCAAGATTTGTCTCAAAACAATGATTTTTCAGATTGATCCTCTAACTGTATAGGTGCTTCAAGTTGGCACTTGCATGACAGTCGACCACTCGGGTATATTGGAAAAATTAAAGTTTAGTCGTCAAACTTAAGTATGTGGTTGTAGTTTCTTCTGATTTTCCTAGAGATTCTAATAATTCAGGATATTTGGGATTTTTTAATAATCAGGAAGATGTACACTTATAGAGTCTTTCACTAAATATAATAAAAATGGGATTCAGTGAATTGAGGTAAATAATCTTGGCAATTACATAAATTTTATATTTTAAACACACATGTATAACTTATTCACCCTTAATGTATTGTACGAAATATATTTAAAGCCATTTAGTTTTCTTTTATTGAGATATAGTTCAGATATCATAAAATTCACCTTTTTAAAGTGTATTAAGTCAGTGATTTTATTGTGCAATCATCTTCACCAGTTCTAGAATATTTTCATCACCCATAAAGGAAACCCTATGCTCATTAGCTATCATTACTCACTCCCCACTTCCTTCACCCCTAGCAACTGGCAGTCTACTTTCTGTTCCCTGTGGATTTGCCATCTCATGTAAATAGAATCACATGTTTTTTTGTGTGTGTGTCTGGCTTCTTTCACTAAGCATAATGATTTCATGGTTCATCTCTGTAGCATGTGACAGAGCTTCATTTCTTTTTTAGGACTGAATAATATTTCAGATCCACTTAATTTTGATTGAATAGATATACATTACAAGTTAACAGAAAAAGTTATCCCTAGGGAGGTACTAGTAGAATTTTCAATGCTGAGAAAAGGTGCCCTTTAAAATAGGCAAGGTGGCCTTGAATATATAGAATATTTTCAAAGAAGATTTGCTTTTTAATTGTCCCCCCCAAAAATAAAGAGATCTTTGTGTTGCCCCATTGAGTTAGTTTATAAAATTTGATAAATTCATCTTATATATTAATGTAAGTTTGAAAGGTTTCCAGAAGCATCAGATAAGACAGTGCTATTTAAAAAGATTCTAGTTAGAAATATTGAAACACTATGAATTAAAAGTAAATGCTTTTATTACTACATACAATTATATTTTTCTCTGAAATTATATGGTAAAAATATTTCACTCTTTAGTACATTTAGTTTAAACTTAATAATAATTACCACTGAGGCAGTTTGATCTTGTAGAGAGAATATGTCTTCTGGGTTAGAGAAATTGAAGTTTTGAATCCTGATATTCACTTACTTTCTTTGTGACTCTGGAAAAGTTACTTAAGCTCTCTGAGCCTCATTTGCAAATGAGGTTAATAACTGTCTTTTTGATCATTGTGGCTTTGCAGATTAAATGACATAATGTTCTAAAATTGTGTAGTACAAACTGACACCTGAAAAAGTAGTAGTTTTATGAGGTTATGACTATATTTGTTGTCTGCTGGTTTCCACTTTACAGTCAAGATAAATTAAAGGATGGTAATTTCAACTTAAAATTTTTGTATTTATCACATAATGGGAGCAATTAGTTGAGTGAATAATACTTGTTTTCTTGTTGATTAAACACAAAAAACATTTTTTTTGACACATTAAAATTTTAGTCAGTGGTTTTCCAAAGGAATTAATTGTATACCTTATATAATAAAAGCCTAAGTGCCCTGTTGATGAGTCAGCTGTTCAACCAATCAAAGTGTAATATGCTAATGATATGCTAAGGCTGCTCAACTGCCCGCTATGATGTGCACTGGCCACCAGGGGCCAGACAGTCAACCAGTCTCCCAGTTGCTGTGACATGCACTGACCATCAGGGGGCAGACACTCTGGTAGGTTAGCTTACTGCTGGGGTCCTGCTGATCAGGTCTGAGTGAGACAGGCTGTACATACCCTGGAGCCCTCCCATGCCCCTCTCCAGCTGGCCAACCTCCTGCAGCCATCTCTGGCCCTCATCATGCACCAGTGGGGTCCCTTGGCCTGCCCCTCTCACAATCTGGGAGCCCTTGGGGGATGATGGAAAGCCGGTTTCGGCCTGATCCTTCAGGCCAGGTTGACGGACCCATTGGTGCATGAATTCAGGCCTCTAGTATTTTTTATAACTGTATATGTTTTGAAGGTTCTAGTTATATTCAACTTAGATTTTTCCTAGTATTGTGTGCCATTAAAAAGTTGTTTTGTATTTGAATGCCAAGGGAATCAGTTTTGTACATAGGGTTATTTAGTAAATATTTGATTTTATTGAAACTGAAGTAATTTCACCAGATATTAAAGTTCAGTTTAATAAATTTTTTTTTTCCAATTTAAGATTCATAGAAAGAAAAATTTAGATAATTTGAACTCTTATATTGGACAGTTGCATTATTGATAACTGACTTCCCATAGGAACTTTGCTTTGTGTTTTGGGAATTTATGAAATAAGGAGAAATATTTGAATTATTTGCAAAAGTACAATTTTAAGTAGTTGGATTGTTTAACTCTGATAAGTGTTATTATTAGTCACTTAACAATGAATATTTAAAACGGGGTAAGTAGAAATAATAGTGGTCTGGTTAAAGGCAAATAATATTTATATGTGCAGTTATATAATTGATATTGCATATTTTATTACAAGTAGGAAATATAGACATAGTAATAGTTAACTCAGTATTATATAGTTAAATAGGACAAATATTTTAAATTCACAACTAATAGAAATATTTAGGAGAATACTATGTCTGTAAGGATGCCAGCAGAATTTAATCTGTGCAGATAATAATCAGCCAAGTTATTTTCCTAATAACTCTTATTAAATTCTCTCAAAGGAGTTTTAAAGCTTTATTGTGCAGTCTATGTAGCATCTATGCTATGTAGCATCATATCATAGTGTTTTTGTTTAAACATAAACTTCGTTGACTTATAAATATCCAATTGGTTGTTTTATACATTGGCAGTATTTGACTTGAGTATACTTTTCTCCCATGTTATATCTTGGCCTTTAGGTGGCAGCATTACCTTTGTGTATTTCAGTGACAGCTTTTTGTGTCCTTGGCATAGCTATAAAGATGCAATGCTTTTTACACAATTTGTACAGATATTATGGTGTATTTTTAATTTTTGTTCTTTAGGTGGTTTTAATAGTAATTTTTTTATTGCAGTAATTTGAATTATTAGGTGCAGCTAGAATGTTAAAAGGTGCACTTTCTATTTTACACGAAGTAGCAAGATATTAAAATATCCTTATTTGTGGCACTGGTTTAAGTAAGATAAACTTTAGAATAGGGGAAGGATACCTGTATTACCAAAGGGAAAACTTTTGTTCAGATGAAAATTGAGGACAATGACTTGACATTTTAAGATTAATGAATCATGGTAATGCAAAGAGTTGAGGATTTACATCTAAAATCTTTTAAAATAAAATAAAATCTTTTCAAAAGAGAATGAGTTTCTGTTTTAGTCATTTTTGAGTTACACGAGTGCCAGGTTCCTTCCTACATGGATGTATTTTGCATTCACTATAAAACACTTGTATAGGATCTAGAAATACTAGTAGATGTGAGGAATACAACTATAGTGAGGGTCTAGTATATTATTTACATAATTTCCCTGTTTCTGGCAATAGCTTTCATATCACTCCTGTGCAATACTTGCTCCAAAATTATTTAAAAGGTGTGTTTAGTTTATGTGTATAGTTATCGATGACCTAGGAACCTTATTAAGTATACTAGTATTCTCTCTGCTTCTTTCTTTGTTCTAAGTTCTGCTTCTCTCCTTTTTGAACAGAGGAGCTCTTGGGCCAGCTTTTTACTCAGTTGTAAAATAATGGGGCCAGATAGATTGTCTGTCATTTGTTATCCAATCTGATGTTTTAAAGTACTTAGGATTTTATGAATTATTATGAAAATAGCTTCTATTCTGAGTCCCATGATCATATTTGATACTAGATTATCTGTGTTATGGTATTTGTTATTGTTTTTAAAAATATTTTCTGCTTTGTAGAGTTATTATAAGTTGGGAACTAGTGTAGATTTCTGAATTATCAAGAAATTAGTCCTGTATTATGAGTAGATTTTAGAAAGTTTTAGGGAAATGTTTCTTGGTTAAAATTTGATTTTCCTGAAAGTTAATTGTGACCTTTTATTTTATTTCAACCTTCTGGTGAATTGTTTTTACTAGTGTTATAATTCTGTGACATCTCCTAGAGTCCCTTGGCTGTAACATTATTTGTAACATTGTTTTTTATTGTTTTTAATTTTATTATCCTTTGGAGGCTTATACAGATGGCATAGGATCTAAAGTCAGCTCCAGGCTTCCTTCCAGGTTGGAAGCATCAGAGGAATAATTGAGGCAAAAGCTTTATTTGAATCAAACTGAGCTCAGTTCATTACTCGATCCTGCAGTTTCTCACTCATTTGATTTGGGTTATCTTAAATTTTTACATTCTTTTCCTTGTTTGCAGAAAGGATATAATACCACTATACACATGCTCTTGTGAGGATCAGAGTAAATGAAATTAAGAGGAAAAGTACCAAATATGTTTCATGGTCCCAAACATAGGACATCTTCAATAAGGGTTACTTTTCTTCCTCTCCCTACCAGAGTTTACTTTCTGGAGTCTACCCAATTTCTTGAATTGGGCCTTGTCAGCGCCTAACATCACTACTATGTTCTTATTTCACCCATTAGCTTCCCTGCAATTTAATGATTTTTTGCTGCTTGCTTTGATTCGAGGCTCTTGCAGCAGCAAAGTAAATAGGCTGGTGGCCATTTTACCATCAGCTGGGCTATGTAAGGTAAACATTTATATCAAAGCCTAAATAGTAGTAGTTAACTCAGTATTATATGTGTTTCTTCATTCCTTTACTTTTCCACTCACAGTTCACATAGTAAAGGATTTAGTCCTCTCCTCCCCTCA